AGGCGGAAGTATTTTTGCGCAGAACTTCTTTTTGCGTGGGCGGCCTTCGGCCGCGCTAGGGATTATAACCCTTACTAAGTAGAAGTAATTCATATTAGCAAAACACGAAATTGTCCATATCCCCACTTTCGTTTGAAATTCGAAATAATGCATTCATGCACAATTTCGGTTGAAAACTGAAATAATGCATATAACAAAAACCGAAATAATGCATATGACAAAAACCGAAATAAAGCATACATCCAAAATTTCGGCTGAAACCGAAATAATGTCTAAATGCACAGCTTCCATATGCGCAATTTCACGATCTTCGCCGTTTTCAATACCATTATTCCCGTCATCCCTTTTGTGTTGAAAATTGCCGAAAACGGAGAAAATTCCTCTTCTGGAAACACTGGGTACACTGGGCACACTGATAAAATATCGTGCCGCCGTAGTTACTGCCGAGCGCCGAACTACTCCGAGCGACTGCTCTACATTGTACGTGCCTTTCTTTGTAAAGCGGCTCAGAAGTATGTCTGATAACAAATACACGTTCTAAATTCCTACGTCCATAAGGCATTATTAAGTACTCCTGTTTCCTACGGGAAAAATACGGCTATGAATTTAGATGCGTGTACGTATGTAATGAATTTCCAGATATTTTGCGCAGTTCGGTAAAAGAATTTTTAATAATTCGCTCAAAATTGATGTTTACAATAGATCTTATGTAAAACATTATTTTTTATATAATTTTTGCAAAGTGGGCGGGCAACGCCGACTTATATATATCAAATATTTGTATCTCGAAAACCGATCCACCAAATATTATATACATACTGTCCTTAGCCTGTCCTAGAAGTCCGTGGGCTTAAAAAGATGCAAATATGGCAATCTGCTGTAGAATCTCGAGCCATGTTCTTCCCAATATCGAGAGCTTATATTCAACACGATCTATCTACAGTTTTCACAAAAATGAGATTCCCATACAAAAATCCCCCATAGACTTAGCCGTCATCGATGATGTTAATGCTGGTTGTTGTTGTTGTTGTAGCGGTTACAACAACCCCGCCCAGATAGGTTAGTCCCTGAATCGTTGTCCTCAAGCTCTATTAGCGGTAGACCCAGGAGGCGTGGAGCCTCGGTGGGGTCTGTCCATAAGGACAGAGGCGTTATCAGAGTGAGCTTCAGTTGGCATGCGAAAAGATGATTCAAAGTATACTATATAATCAAATCCAAGAAAAAAAACTATGTATGTACTTTTATTGACAAAGTGAAATTCCAGTTTAAACGATTAAAACCAGATTTTTATTACAAAAATTATAATCGTAGGGGTTTATGACTTGGTTTATATATCTACATACATAGTTTTTGTTTCCAGCCAATGTTCGTTTTAATACTTTTGACCGCTACTGTTTACCTCAAGCCCATGTGCCCATAAAGCGAAAACTATCTACATCACTTCCCCATTAATTGCATATAATTATAATGACGTTTTCCCATGCACTTATAAATATACATACAATATTGTATGTTTAGAATGAATATACATACATATATGTACATATGTATATTTGTACATATGTATATATATACTTACATCTAAATATAAAATGATATTATGTTACCACTGCTCGTAAACACAATACTTTCATGGAGTTGCATTTGGCGATAGATGAGAGTTTGGGATGTTTTTCCTCTGAAAGGGTGGCGGCGCAAGTACGCACGCGTTCAGATGATTTTCTGCAAATTGTTTATTGCACTTTGGATTTTCCTAGCATTCCTAGGAATTATGTAATCTAAAATGACTAGTGCCGCTTTTCATGTAAGAAAACGAAATACCGCTACAAAGAAACAGATATCTGATTTAATTAGCGGTTGTTTGTTGGTTAACGCAATCGTTCGCACTGAACATTGAATGCACAATTACACTTGCAAATAAACACTTCGCTTAATAATGTGAGTATCGTCGTTTGTACATATATGCTATGTATGTATGTAGTACCTTTTTACTAAAGCAGGGAAAGTGAGTATAAAAGCATACATACATACGTATGTACATATGTATGTACCTACGACCATCTAATACAATTTGTTCATCTGCGCATTCTCATGAAATCTGCCAGCCTAACACCTGTCTTAATTTATACTCCATCAGTATCAGTGATCGGATTTTAAAAAAAATTTGTGTGGTAGAATCTGGAAAAAAATGTGGAAGATTTCAAAAAAATGTGGTAGATCTCAGGTTTCGGATCAAACTTTGTACAAAAATTAAAAAAATTCTGCAAGGTTTCACATAAATTGCAAACATTTTAATTAGAATCTAAAAAAAATTTATTTTAGTATAATAAAGTGCAAGATTGAAGTTGCTAAAAATTGCGTTCAGTTTTGGCAATTTTCCATGTCAAAATATTTTTCAAACATATTTCGAAAGATTTCTGCAACCTTGCGGTGTGCTGCCAGCTTTTCTTTTTATCACATCACGATTGAGCGAACAAATGTGGCACGTTGCAGAAACCGCTACTTGGGATTTGCCGATTTTGACAATTCTCAAGTAAAAGTAAACAACGCTTTAGACACTTTAGGTGCAGTGAAATTTGCTAATACTTTCACTAAAATCGCCGTTTTTTTAACATTTTCGCTATTAATAATTTTTATAAATCATATATTTTACAATTTAACACAATAACACGTTTCCGGTCGAAAAATTTAATATTGAGATAACTTAATATTTTACAGTTTATTTTATAATTCTGCCTGTTGTTAGTGTTTAGTGTTGGACAATTTTTGCTCTTAAAATTAAGAAAATTATGTCGAACAAAAATAAAACTACTCAAAAATGCGAATATGTGGTAGATTTCAGACCTTGTGTGGTAGATGTGGTATATGCTCAAAAAAGTGGTAGATCTACCACATTGTGGTAGAAGTCCGATCACTGATCAGTATATGTATGTATACATATATACACATGTATTATCTCCGCTTTTATGATTTCATATAACAAAAAGAATTGATGCAGATGTACTTACATAGTTAATAGGCGTACATAATACATGAATGGGTATCAGAATTTAAAAGACTAAGGACCGGAGATTAGTTCCGGGTGCAGAAGTATGCCTGCACTGGGGAAAGTTTTTGGTAGCAACCGAACACCTTTTTGGAAACGTGCTAATGTGAGAATGCAAACCCCCAGCAATGGGTTGAACTTTGGACCTGCCAGCTACCACCAACTCAACCAATGAAAAGCCCAAAAATTGCTTTAGAAGATACATTCTACTCTAGATGACGACCACGGCGAACATACAAAGGACTAAGATTTGCGGGAATCTTCGCACTCTTAATGGTGCCCTTGAGAAAACTGAGGCTGGTATTACCACCATCCAAGAAATGCGCTGGACGGGGCAAGGCAAGAAATATATTCGGACTTGCTACGTCTACTACATCGGCAATGTTATAGGGGTGGGGAAGGATTGAGTGGCCTAGTAATGTCACTCACTCCTGCACCAAAGTGAGAATCTTCAGCAGACTGAGGTTGATCCGAATCCGAATCGAAAAACTAGAAGCTAAATCGAAAATTTTGTGAACGGAAGACATACTTGCAGTGTTTTGTATGTACTTACACTCCATCACTTATACTAACATTCAGCTAGACCCGGGATACTTAAACCCTCTGACCCATTCCCTCTCGAATGGCCTGATTACAGGTAACGAATGCTTGAATAAGGGTGTATTTAGGCCTGGCGCATATTTAAAAAAATATGCCCTGTATTTAATAAATATATGTAAGTGTGATCTCAGTAACTGCCGTTAACATCTTGGAAGATGGCCATAACTATACTAAAAAGAAAACATCTAATTTATGGATGTTTTTACAGTTTTCTGTCTGCAGAAATTTGCGAAACTTGACTTTATTGTACATTTTTCAAGCTTGTTTGAATAAGCACACCCCATTCCTCTACCCTCGATGTAATACATAGGGTAGTAAGTTTCCCATAATATAACGCGCAGCATAGATCACCTCTCTCTAAATTTCATTCAATATAGCGAATTTTCGAACATACTCAAAAGAAGCCTTTCTGTGCAATTTTGTGTAATATTTTCATTTCCTCTAAAATTCCTTAACGGAGGATTATTCAACAAGTTTTTATTTAAACATAACATTGTGTTTAAAAAACAAACTGAATGTGTGTGTCCCTACGCACGGAAGTTTAGTTGAGTATTGAAGTGAATTGAGGTGAAATGCGTTTACCAACATAACAGAATATAACATAACATTACAAAACATAACACAACACAACACAAAACAAATCAGCACAACACAACACAACATAACATGACATAACATAACTGTTGAGTTCGAACATGCAAAGATTAAGGTTTTAGTAACACACAAGTGTTAATGCATACACGCGCGCAAGGGTTAATGTTATGAGCCCACACAAGAGTTGACAGCATTTGACATTTTGTTATTCTTTTTCTCGCTTTCGTTCTTAGATGTATTGTTAGCTATCGTTGATACATTTATATTGTTTTTGATACCTTTTTGCATTTTCTCGAACCAGCTACCGCTTTTTTCTGCGCTGCATCGTTTTGCGAAATATATTGAGTTTACCATCCGCAATTGATATTTTAAGAATAAACTTTAACCTAAGCTAAATCAACTGCGTTTATTTTCATTTTGGATAACCCCGCTTGAGGTTTGGAAAATTGCAAGCAAAACCGCCTAGTCGTTTTTTTTGGTGCACCAGCAATCTGCTGCAACATATTCTGGTCCTTCGTCGTCGGATTCCTCCGCATAGTTTCTTTGTTAAGAATTCCCGCGATATAAACTGCATTTTTTTCAACAAATTTATACCGCCACATAATATTTAAGTATTAGTGCCTCATAAAAAGTGGTATTCTCATTTTTGGACCGACCTTGTGGTGACATTGAGAAACATTAAACGCCTTTGACTTGTCCTCTGCAAGTAATACTCAACAACAACTGTGACCTACGAAAGGCAGATCAAAAGCAACTAACAATGTCGGGCTCCGGTAAAACACGCGATTCTGCGCTTAATGCCATCAAGCGATACATGACAAAAAGCATTGATGAAGCATTTTCCATGGATTCAGAAACGGTCACAAGCTATTTGCAACTGTTGAGCGAGCAATGGTCCCGGTTCAACTCAGCCCAAGATGCAGTGGAAATTTCTTGTGGAAGTGACAACGCCGAATTGGAAGAAAATGTACGCATTCAAGCCGAAACATGGTACTCTACGGCTTTGGCGAATTTCAACCGGGTACAGAAGTGTCGTACACAACCTCCAAGTCAAAGTCACCCTACAGCTGCATCAACGCCTGTGTGTGCTTCTATACGCTTACCGAAGATGGAGCTACCAACCTTTTCCGGTGATTCTACAGAGTGGGTAGGCTTTTATGATGCGTTCTGTTCATTAGTAGACGCCAACGCTACACTGTCGGACGGACAGAAGTTGCATTACCTGCGTAGCTGTTTAAAAGGTGAAGCATTGAAGATCATCAGTGGTTTCCAGATTTGCGACGCAAACTACAAGGAGGCGTGGGACTTGTTGAAGTCCCGCTTCAAGATCATGCGAGTCATTGTTGAGGCGCACTTCAAAGCAATGGCCGACATTCGCAAAGCCGCAAGTGATACTGCCGGCGCTATCAAAGGCGTTCTCGACGCATATCAGCAGCATATTCGTGAACTGAAGGCTTTAGGTCGCGCCGTCGAGTTCTGGGACGATTGGCTGGTGCACGAGGTGGTAAATAAATTAGCGTTCGAGACAAGGAAGCAGTGGGAGCTGTCACTCGTCAGTGATGAGCCCCCCACTTTCGACCAACTATCAGCGTTCCACGAAGTAAGGTGTCAATCGCTATCGATGCTTTCGACAGCAACCGGTTCAGCAACACCAGGTAAGCCGACTTCAGCAAGCACAGCAAGCAAGTCTGCCAAGGTTTTCCACGCCTTGCCGGAGAACAACAGTGCGAGCTGCTCCTACTGCAAGGGTGCCCACAAGATTTATGCTTGCGATAAATTTATCCGTCTCGATTCCAATGCTAAATCGAAGTTTGTTAAAGAATCCCGTGTGTGTCTAATTTTCCATCAACGCCATCATACGCTACTGCACAACACCGCGTCCGCAACTAGTGTCACCGCTCCTGCTCACAATGCCGACAACGTACAACACGTAGGGGCTAACTACGCTGCCGAAGACGTAGCCCAAGTTGAAAATGCAACCGCTTTATCCGCCATTGGATCTTCGACAGACACCGCTGCCGCACGCTCTTCTTCCTGCTTGAAGTCGAGTCCAAACCTAGTACCTACAAATCTAAGAACTGTTCTGCTTGCTACTGCCTTGGTGAAAGTACGCGATTGCTCCGGTCGTTTTCAATCCGCACGCTTATTGTTCGACTCTGGGTCGCACGCCTCGTTCGTGACAGAGTCATGTGTTCAACGCTTGGGTCTACCAAGGACCTCGTCAACGGTGGTAATTACTGGGATTGGATCCTCGCAAGGTGGCCGATCTAGAGGTGAGACTTTACTTTCACTTTCATCTTATTCCTCAGATCAATGTTATGCAATCAATGCGCTGATTTTGCCGAAGATCACAAGTGACTTGCCAACTCAGACCTTAGCCACTCATACATGGCCACACATTCAAGGGCTGGTCTTAGCTGATCCGAATTTTATGAAGCCTGGACCAATAGACCTATTGGTCGGGGTGGACGTTATGGATCGGCTCATCTGCTCGGAAATTCGCAAAGGCCCCCAAGGGACGCCTATAACGCAACGGACGGTATTCGGTTGGACACTTTTTGGAAGTGTTGATGGCGCTAGCTCCTCAAACCCACGTCTACAATCACTACATTGCGATGTGCAGTTAGATAGAGCACTCACGAGGTTGTGGGAGCTAGAGGAGGCTCCGCAAAAGAGGCATCTGACTTACGAAGAGCGCTTCTGTGAAGAGCATTTTGAATCAACGCACCAGAGGTCACCTGATGGTCGATTTATCGTCGAACTGCCGTTAAAAGCTGATGTTACCTTGGGAGAATCGCGAAGATTTGCTGTTCGGAATCTTCTCCGCATTGAGAAAAAACTCGCTGTCGACAACGAGTTGCGCTTACGCTATAACGAATTCATGCAAGAACTCGTCGACATGAACTACATGGAGCCTGTAACCGAAGCGATAAGTCAAGCGTTCTACATGCCGCATCATCCCGTCATAAAGGAGTCGAGCGTTACAACGAAGTTAAGGGTTGTGTTCAACGCATCTGCAAAAACCACCTCTGGTAATTCACTAAATGACGCCTTGTTTGTGGGACCGCAATTACAACAAGACTTGGTCTCGATACTGATGCGTTTCAGAACACATCGGTATGCTGTAACCGCAGACGTCGCAAAGATGTACCGCCAAGTTTGCGTATCATCAAAGCACCTTGATTTACAACGTATCGTTTGGCGCAATGATCCGTCTTTACCCATCCAAGATTACAGAATGTTACGCGTCACTTACGGAGTAGCGGCTGCATCGCATCTAGCCGTTAAATCGCTGCAACAAACTACAAAATATTCCAGTAACAAGTCTGAGCAGGCTGCTAAGGTAATCCTCAAGAACTTTTACATGGACGATCTATTGACCGGCACCTCCTGTAAAAACGAGCTGCAACGGAATATCTCGGATATTCTAAGCGAAGGTGGCTTTGAGCTTCGCAAGTGGGCGTCGAACTGTGTGGAGCTGAACGAAAATATCTCGAACGCATCCAAAAGCATTTCGCATTACATAGCAGAGGGTAAAGATGTTCACGCTTTGGGTCTCATCTGGGACACGGAAGTAGATAATTTCACATTTACAGTTAATCTTAAGCAACCACCTGATGTTTTGACAAAGAGAGCGTTTTTATCGGACGCTAGTTTGCTCTTCGATCCTCTGGGATTGCTCGCCCCAACGACGGTTAAGTCCAAAATATGGTTCCAGGAGATTTGGCGTTCCAAAGTCGAATGGGATGATGTCGTGCCTGACGCGATCGAAACGCAGTGGTTTCAACATCGTTCAGAGCTACGAGATCTTGTAAATCTAAAAGTTAATCGCTGGCTTGGTACTGGAACGTTTGGCTCATCAACTGAACTGCACATATTCTCCGATGCGTCAGAACGCGCTTATGCTGCCGTTATATACGCACGTACCGTTCACAGCGACGGCCAGATTACCGTCGCATTAATTACATCGAAGACCAAAGTGGCGCCAATTAAATCGACCACGTTGCCTCGTTTGGAGCTTTGAAGCATTTAATTTTAAGAACTTTTTAAGTATGTATTGTATTCTACAAACAATTACGAATAATTTGATACCTTAGCAAGAGGTGTGCTTTCAGAATAAACTAACTTTTAAGATAAAATATTCTGCGATCTTGAGCGTAATTTTTATTCCAAAAACACTTTAATTGAAGGCACATTTGGAAAATACGACGAAACGATCTAAATCTTTCTATAACTGCTAGTCCTTACAAAATTACATATACATGTAAAATGCTTCAAAAAAATTGTCTCTAGAAGTGTGTAAAAACCCTGATTTACTACATTTAATGATGCTCCTTCTTTTAGTCAGAATATTTCGAGAATGGTATCAAAACAACTGTTTTTCGACAAATGTTCTGATAGTTGCTCTTACTTAACTGGAGCCTTCTAAATTCAATGGCGTCCTCAGTTTCACCCTATTGGCTCCACTTTTCGAGATAGCGGTACTTGAAACTTTGCTTAAATTTTAACTATTTTATAAAAAAAAGTCCCTGGGCTTTGAAGATATTTTACTAAAATTTTGCACATAACCGTTTTTTAATATTACCTTAACTATTCCATAAAATCATCGAAATCGATTCACTAAAACATATAGCTCCCATACAACTGATTGATCAGAGACGTTGTTTTGCGTTATAACTCCTTCACTTAAACAGGTTAAAATTTAGTATAGGTTCACTTTAACATATAGCACGCATACAATTTATTATTCAGATATGAAGTTAGAGTTATAGCGCAAAAACACATATCTGAGTAATCAGTTGTATTGGAGCTATATGTTAATGTTAACCTATTTCGATAAATTTAAGGTAATATTAAAAAACTGTTATGCGCAAAATTTTAGTAAAATAACTTCAAAACTGAGGGAGTTTTTTATAAAATAGTTAAAATTTAATCAAATTTTCAAGTACCGTTATCTCGAAAACCGGAGCCAACCTGATAAAACATGGCATGCCATTGAATTTAGAACATCCCAATTAAGTGAGTTCAACTTTCAAAATCTTTGCTCAAAGTTTACAACTTGAACAGCGTAATTTCAACCCAGCTTATTCTTTTGTTTTCTATTTCATGCTTATTTCTCGTCTAACTTTTGAAGCATTTGATGATGATTTATAAATTAAAATTTTTTTTTTGAAAGTGTACCTATTTTTTAGATATGCCCATATACCAATTAAATCGGTGTTGTTGGAACACTCGCACTTTTACTTAGGTACTTTTTTCGTGACAAGTCTTTCAGGTGCGATAGTAATATGGTTGTTGCTTTGCTGGCCCGAACAATTCGTAAGCAATAACGTACTTAATCTTTGAAAAAATCCATAAATAACAAAATAAAAAAGTGTGCATTTAAGTGTTAAAGGAAGTGGTTATTAACTTCAAATATAAAGGTGATTAAAATAAAAAATAACTTGTAAGTGCTAAGGTAAAACTTTTATATTAGGTAAGTTACAATTATTACCCATCCAAGCTGTTGTTCATTTATACGTGTAAAAATTTTACCAAAGAGATCAAAATAAATTAACAATTTGTTACAAAAAGTCAAAGGTTTAAAAAGATATCAACTAGTTGAGTAATTTCCAAGTTTAAATGAAATTTCCTCGTGAAAATAATGAGTTAAAAAATACTACACTGAGGGAAATAACGCATAGTAAAATTAAATAATATGTATTACTACGCAATGTTAATACACACTTATTAAAAAAATATTTTTCTAATGGATGTAGTTAATACGTGCATATTTGAAATAAAAGACGTATTTAAATCAAATGAAAAGTAGTGTATAGAGAGCTCAGAGATAGGGTAGAGAGATAGAGAGAATTGTGTTGACACATATACACATACACATCCATACCAGTGTTGCCACGGGCAAATTTTTTCCCCTACCAAAACTTCCTACCAAAATCAACCAAAACCTACCAAAATTTTATTAAAGTTTTTAATGTTTTTTAATGTCAAGTTTATTAAAAATGTAGAAAAACTAACTACATTTAGAAAAACTAACTACGCCACGTATAACAATTCAATTTACTGTACAGACTTATACAAATGTTTGTCTCTTTACACATACATATTATTATTATGATTATTATTACGACCGTGAGACAAGCGCTGCGATCTAAGAAGATTTATTGTGATCAACCCTAATTTTAATCATTCCAACCGTATTCTCTTTAAGAAGTTAGGCACTTTGGAGGGCGCCATGTTTAAAACTTTGGATGAAGAAGGCAATGGTTCTCCAAAGTGTATCAGTCTGCTATTTATGATACGTGGGCGGTCACATAAAATATGATCTGGGGTTTCTTCCACCAGCTCAAAACAGGTTAGGGGCCACGCAAGTGCATTTGGGCTCGACGCTTTACGAGACAGTCAGCTTTTGTTGCCTTCAAACCCTTCATGTCCCGGAATCCACCGCAGCGTTACGGTATTGTGAGCTTCCAAGTGGTTCAAACAAGTTTTACGNTTGCCTTCAAACCCTTCATGTCCCGGAATCCACCGCAGCGTTACGGTATTGTGAGCTTCCAAGTGGTTCAAACAAGTTTTACGGCTTTCCACAAGCCTGCTGCCGTTTTAAAAGAGTCTAAGGCCTTTAACCTGCCTGACTATCCGACATATTTAATTTGGCCCCATTTGTCTTTCTACACAGACTTCGATTCCGAAGACTTTCGCCTGGAATATAGTTGGGTATGTGTAAATTGGCAGACTTTCTGGAATTTTCGTCCGAATTCGCCTGCCCCAGTACTCTCGTCATCCATCTTTGATATGTCGGTATACAATGCTTGGGACCTTTCGTCAATAATAGTTATTATCACTTCGCAGCAGTCCGTTTCAGGAATTCTGACCTTGTAGGGTTTGTAGAAGGATAGCTAGGGATTATCCAGGAATGGATTAGAACCTCCAAATGACCCCGAAAATTCCAGCAGTCCTATTTTTCAAACAGAATAGATAAAGGAAGAATGCCTGTAATGGCACCAAAGGCATCCGTTGGACAGGTGCCCATAGCTCCTCTAATGGCCACGCGGACCAGTCGGTGCAGTTTGCTAAAGGTGGAACCCGCCTTTACTTGCGTAGCTTTTGGTCACCAGGCCAGTGCCGCATATGTGACAACGGGTCTTACTACCATATTAAGGGCACAGTACTTAGATCTCCTGGTTGCAGTGCATATCTCAACTGAATATCTATCTACTACGATATTGAAAAACCAATAGGTTAGTTTTGGTGAAATTCCTCAAGTGTTATAATAAAGTCCCTGTCAGGTGGACAATGGTGGACTCCACCGGTGGAATATTCGTGTAACCAAGGTTGCTAAAATGTTTGGAGATACATATTGTTGTGCGGAGCCTACCAAAATCCAATCTAGCCTACCACCCTACCAAATGGAGAAACGCCTACCAGTTTTGGTAGGTAAGGCCCATTTGGCAGCACTGATCCATACACATGCACACACATGGTTATTTGTACAAATGCACTAATCAACATTTGAAAGCACATTTATATGTCTGGCTGTAGCCGAGTGCACAAAGATGCTTGCCACAATTTGTCAATTTCCAGATTCTTGATGGTCAGGGTTCAAATCCCATTGCAGGCAACATGCAAATTAAATATTTTATTTTTTGTTTGTTTTTATCTTGATTATTCACTTCATGGATGCTTCTTCAGAACGAACGTGTCATTTTAAGATGGACGTATTTAATTTAATTAATGTGCGTTATACTGTACTTTTGAATACGTTTTCATTTGATTTAAATACGTTTTTTATTTGATTTTATTATTTCTTTCCCTCAGTGTACTAAACATTTCAGTATCAAATCAGTAAAGAATTTTCGTTAAAGCTTCGCCAAAGTAAAATCATAAAAAAAAAATTATCTCATTTATAAGATATAATATACACTAAAAATATA